GACACTGTCTCAGCTGAACTCTGGACACACACACACATACATATACACTGATATGCACACACTCATCCCGCCTCCCTTTCCAAACGCCTTCGACGCTTATTCCCTTCCGATGCTGACGGTGGATCAAGGAGACGAGCGCACGCAGGCCCGCATGTACTGTCTAAATCGGCTGTCTCTCACCCTTTACCCACCCCTGCTGCTTGTCATGTGTTTCTTTGGTGTTTTTAGATTTTTTTCATGTGCAGAGGTGTTTTTTTCTGTTCTCAAGCCTTATGAAATCTCCCCTTGTGGGACTAATAAAGGTATATCAAATCAAATCTTAATCTTTGCCCTCTTCTGCTAACTTCTGATCGAGCTCTCTGCTTTTTTGTGCCAACTTGTTCTCAAATTGTGTTCTTCTCATCCAGCCAACATTTTTTTCCTGGATGACTTCGTCCAGTTTTCTTTTGATTCTAAAGCCCCTTTTCCATTAGTACCTACTTGGATCGGCTCGCCATGGACCGACTGGTTTTCCATTACAATCCAGTACTACCTGATGTGCATGGTTTTTGTCATAGCAACGCATCCTAGCATCCTGTGACGTAATTAATATGCGACACGAACATTACGACAAATGTAGACTTCGATGTAAAAAATATACCCTTGGCTCGATCTGTGACTTTTTGTCAGACTCTGATAACACAGCGTTGTTTTTTGTAGCCATTTCCTCCGTTGACAAGTTTCAAAAATGGCAGCTTTGACTTTCATGAACGAAAAGCTCTCATGACTCATCGAGTGACGCTACTGACCAGCCAATCGATGGCATGCAGTCTGATGACGTCACATTTTAGTTCCTGCTTGGATCGCTTGGAGCCCAGGTAGGACAGGGAATAAAAAAGTACCTGGTACCAGGAACTCTGATTGTGCCGAGTCGATCTGAGTAGGTACTAATGGAAAAGTGGCTTTAGCTGCTCATCGTGAAACTTCTTAATTTCGATTTCAAATTGCACTCTCCACTGAGAGAGAATTTCTTTCTCTGTTTCAGCCTTAAAGTACTTTCTTTTTTTTCTTTTTTTTTACTTTTTTCCCCCTTTATGTCAATAACTTACCTCTGCACTATCAAGTTTTCCACTTTCAGTCATATTAAGAAGCTGGTCTTCAATGGTCCAAATATTACTCATCAGGTCCAGTTTTCTGTACACTACAACTTCAAGTGTGTTCTTGACACTGAAAACAAAGTTCTCACTGAGGAGGGCGTTCCACAGGTCCTGAATTTTGGTTCTGAGCTGTGAGAGAGTGATCCCAGCAGACTTTGAAGCTTTAGAGAGGATGGTGTTCTTCACTTCTTGGAGGCTC